AGAGTTGAAATACTGATATCTTCCTAAGCGACAGTTACTAAATTTTCTAATCCAAAATTAAAATTCATGGTATGAGAAGTTATTGTACTAGTGAGAACAGAGGACAGCATAGATGAAATGCAAACATTTCCGAAAATCTAGGGCATAAAGTTGCCGTACCAATAGTTCAAGTTTTAGATGGACATTAATTACTGTAGCATATATTGGTAAAGTATAACATCACAGACATGTGAAACAATTGAAGCTTAGCCTGAAATTCAAAGGGGGAAAGAGAAAAGAACATAACTCCTGTGGAGCTATTTCAACATTCATTTCCCAGTCACTATCTAAAAATCAATAAATAATTCCAGAAAACTGAAAATGTATTATATAAGATTTGTCAAGTTGATTAATGTCTCATTCCCTAAAAGGCTTTGAAATCAACTCTAGACGTATCCTACTTATTGTGGTATTGGTTTGAAAGCCAGATGTTTTTCTTCTTTATGAATCCATCTACTGAATGATTATTTTAAGACAACATTCTCAAATATTATGTATAAAAAATCTTCTAGTAAGAAATGTAATCTTTTAATTATAGCTGGATTCAAAGTTACAATATATAATAAATCATCAATTTGGACAAAATAGTTTTTTTTTTCCTAATCTTCCCTTCCAAAATAAATTTATATGGTAATAATTAAAAAAAAAATAGTACAGCTACTATTTTAGGATATAAAACAGAGAACAATGACAAGGTCACGTTATCCAGATGTCTATTAAATCCCATTTAGTTTCTTTTCAACTTTTTATTTCTTTATTTCCTCACCTATAAAATTACAAGCATGACAGTAATTTTTAATTGATGCAAATAGACAATTTACAATTAGACTATATACTAAATTTACCAAATGATCCCTATCTATAAATTGATGTTAATAATGGTTCTCAGTTTCCTATTCTAATAGGCAAAACTGCACACAAAAATTGAAATTTCAGGTCTCTATGAGAGATGATAATAATCGCAGTGGACCTCATGCCCTCTCCTTTACAGTGTTACCGTCTCTCTGGTTTCTACACTAATCATGTGATGCAGTGGAAAACCTAAAGGTTAGAGATACAGATTCAAATCCTGTAATCTTGTGGTGATTTATTTCACCTCTTTGAGCCTTAGTTTCCACATCTAAAAATGTATCTATGACAAAGCATGTAGCAACCACACAGGAGAGATGAGAATGATGAATGAGATCAAGTGTCTAGGGTTTACATGGGGCAGAACAGGTTTTAAAAAGTTTAATCCTTTTTTTTTTTTTTAGTTGGAGTATAGTTGCTTTACAATGTTGTGTTAGCGTCTACTGTTAATCCCTTTTTTCTTTACACAAGTCACTGTAAGTGCTACTGAATCTACCTGAAAACATCCATTAACTAACTTCAAAGAACACTTGAGGAAAAGCCACTTTAAAAGACTTGATAAATGTATATATGTAAACACAAATTAGAAAAACATGACAGCAAATCACTAGTTTCAGATAGAAAGAGCTACTCATTGAATGGATTGTACCGAAATATTTTCAGAAGGTACTGCAGGAAAAAAAAATAAGTGTGAGCCAGATATTTTGACTAAGTGATTTGAAAATGAGAAAATTATTAGATAAGCAATATATATTTTAAAGTGGCCTTACTTTGCACACAGTAAGAACTTGTGAGTGGCAAAGAAAAAGAATTCTTAAACTTGTATTTATTCTTCCTTCAATTCAGACCACTAATTTCATAATATTTGGAAATTTTCAAAAAAATATTACTTGGTTTCAAAAGAATGTAAATCTTCAAAAAATTAAATAATATTTTTATATTCAGCTAAGACACTGACATATTTTAAGTATTTATGTTTTATTTATATCATTTACATACATTATGTTTGTATCATCACTCCCTTATATTAGAAAGAAAATTAGTCAGGATGGAAAATATGTGATTAAAGAGAAAACTATGTTGATTGTCTCTGTGAGATTAGAAAATGTTCCAAATCATACTACATTGTAATGTTGAAAACTTAATAAAAATTTAACTTCATAGTATGACCAATCCAGGAACCAATACATTGGCAGTTTCTTAAGTAAAAAATGTTAGTATAAAATATTTAATTCCTAAATGTATTTATTAAATGTGAGGACATCACAACATGAAACAGAAGAAACTATAGTCATAAAGGAAAAGATGTCTTAATGGGTTGTGCAGGACACTTTTTAAAATACCTGTCTGGATTTTTTGCTTTTATTTTTATTGTAGTACAATGCTATTTATTGACTCGTATTTTTAGTTCACATCAATAGGTGCTTATTCTGTGCCTACGATTCACCTTCATTAGATAAATTCCCTCCATTGGAAGGGAAGCTGGGTCTAGGCAAGAGAACAGGTAATAAACACAGAAGTATAATGCAATGTTTTGTGTGAATGAGGCAGCTTGATAAGGAAATTCAAGAAAATAAAACAGGTTGAAACTATGGTTTGGCTCAAAAGAAACTTTCAACCTAATTGGGTTAAAAAAATGAAACTTCTAGAACTGATTTCTAGGACTAAATTAAGTTCTAATTTCTAGAACTTTGCTATTTTTTTCTAGGAAAAAAATAGGAAAGCAACAAATGATTAAGTGCAAAAAAAAAAAAAAAAGAAAAGTAAGAGGTGAAATTGTTTGCATTATACCTAAAAGGACATAATGATTGAATAGTTCTGAGGCAGGATATTGAGATAAGGCCTTTATTTTAAATGAGGTTAGTTTTAAACTGAGTCTTGAGGGAAGAGATAGATATATGAATTCTTGGTAGAGAGAAGCCCATGGGCAACTAGAGGCGTTTCCTGATATTACTGGAATGCCAATTTTGTATCTTCCATTTTGTATTCCTATTTTCTTTGCATTTTTTAAGTGTCACTTCCGCAAGGTGCTGATGTTCTTTTGAGTCTTGGTCCTGCCCCACAAGTTGCTGCTTGCCAACAGTGCCCCCCAGCTATTGAATCACCTCCAGATAAAATGTTTGCTTGTTTATTAACTGCCTACGTTTTTGTACACTAATCAATAGATAGGTGTCTATTACACAACAAGCACCTTGCTGGTGCCACTAAGAAAAAGACAGTCTCTGAATAAATAAAGCTAACCATCGTGATGGGAAAACTGTAGTTAAAAAAGATAATTACAATAAACTTTCATGAGTGTTGAGATAGGGAAATACAGGTGATGTGGTCTCATGCAACAGAAAAATCCAAGTCTAAGGGATCAGGAAATGTACCTCAAAGAAATTAATTAGTAAGCTTTGGTCAGAAATTTGAGTGTAGACGGAAACAAGACAAAATGGGAGGAGGGAAGGATGATAGTAGTGGAAGTGGAGGTCAACCGAAGGACCCACTGGTGCCTAGAAGGCTAGTCCAGTAGTGAAAGAAGCCTAGTACTGGGTGCCTCGGAGTATAAGTACAGGCAAGAGCACCTCCTGCAACCCAGTGATTTCTGCTCCGTATTTATTTCGTCTTAAACTAGAGGGCCTCTTAAAAAGGAAGAGAGAGAGAGACAGAGAGAGAGAGAGAGAG